AAAATTTTACTAGACGATCTCTAAGATGTTTTTTTTTATACTATAGATGTACTGCAATGATTGATGAAAGTGTAGATCAATTAAACTTGTCGTTAAAAACGACAGATCTTAATCAATTAACTTGTATTTCAAATATTTCTTTATCTTCATTGGAAAATCCTTCTGTATCAAAAAATCATCTTCGTCAATCATTAAGTCAAGTTGAAAAAGGATTTGACGCTCTAGTATTGGAAAATATTGCTTTAAGAAAAGAATTAGAACAATATAGTGGAATCAATAATAATGTACACGAAATAACAATAAATAAACTTCGTGCAGCAAATATTTTTCCGATGATTAGAAATCGAGTCATATTTAGAACGAGAAATCAATCAGATGATTTACTTTTTTCATCAAATAATCATCATCGAGATATTATTTGGGATGTTCAGGTTAGATTTTTGTTTTTATTAGAAATTTATTTATTTTTCAAATTGAATTTTAGGTCGGCGGTATTGATAATCGATATTTTGTATCAGCTTCAGCTGATAAAACATCTATGATTTGGTCTCGAAAAACATCTCGTCCTCTTATTCAATATCGAGGTCATCGTGGAAGTGTCAATTCATGTCGATTTCAATGTTTTGATCATGATTTAGTTTTAACAGCAAGTGGTGATCATGAATTACATATTTGGAAATTATCTCTTTATGAAAATAAACATGAGCGAGACCAAGATAATGATATGACTCCACTAATTCTACGAAATCCAATATTAGTATTAAGAGGTGATGATGTTTTTTCGTGTGCTGATTGGCTTCAACGTGATCAAATTGTATCTGCTTCATGGAATAGAAGTGCTACTATTTGGCAGGTTAGTTATGCAGAAAATTTCTTTGCAAAATTTCATTTGGACATACCTATGTAGATAGAAACGGGTAGGTCACTTCGTACGCTTTATGGTCACAATGCAGAATTAACACATGTCTCTTGTCATCAAACAAGACCATTTATCATAACTGCTTCACGTGAGTTAATGAAAAATTTATTATTACTGCTGCATGTTTTCTAAAAGTTGATTGAACAAAACAGTGATGATTCATTGTCTTGTCTATCAATTACTCTTCATGAGGCAATTAATTTTCATCTGTTTGATGTGTTTATTTTTAAAAAGAGTCGATTTGTTTTTTGAAGGTGATGGAACATTTCGATTGTGGGATTGTCGAACTTCAAGTCGCTCGGTTCAAATATTTAATGGTCATACAAAAACAGTTAATTCAACTTTATTTATTGAAGACATGCGTTTTGTATCATCATCTGACGATGGTTTTGTTCATATTTGGGACTTTCGTTCAACTAGTTCTTCTCCACTCTTATCACTTGAATGCATTTCTCCATGCAACCGTCTCTCAATATTCAATAATATTTTAGCTGTACCACTTGATAATTGTGATATTCGTCTTTATTCTATTGTAAATGGAGAAAAACTTTATGTTCAACGACGAGCACATAAACGAGCTGTTCAATGTACAGCTTTTGTTCAATGTACAAATTCAATAGAGTTTCTTCTTGCTAGTGGTAGTCTTGATTGCCATATGCATGTTTGGCATGTTAAAAAATTAAAAGGAACAAACAACAATAAACTAATAAAATCAATCGAGAGATCAATAGGATCATTAAATGATATTACTAACAATGGAAATCGTGGAAAAGGACAATATAAAAAAAATTACTAAGAAAACTTCATTAAGTGAAAAACCAAATAACATTATAGATCCATGATAGAGAAAAAACAATCATCAACTTGTTGAAATGCAACATCTGAAAAACCATCACAATGAACTTTATCCACGACACCCAATTGAAGAGATTTACGTTTCATTTAAATCACAAAACGAATGATAATAATGTGTAACACTTAACTAATCTGATTCAATTAATCTCATTCGTTTCGAGAGAATGTCAATTTGTATTTGATTTATCCTTTTTTTCTTGCAGATTTATCGTGATTGTCAAACGGTGTGCAAAAGACAAATGACTGATAGTATTTTGTGTCTTATTAATCAAACCTATCTTGTACTATTTATAGCTAAAACAATATTTGAAAAAGTACATTTTTGTTTTTGTTCAAAGTTTTTATTATTTATATTTATATTTTACAATCAGCTCTAAGAAATACTAAAAACAGAGTTTTCAAAGTAACTTAAACAAAGCAACTGACTATAATAAATAATATGATAGTTTCCAATAGAATCATCAACCACAGATAGATTTATAGATGGATTTACCCAAAAAAAAAGAAGAATGTTTGTTCTATTCATGTTTTAAAATTTGTAAATCCTCAAATTCAAATCTATAGAGTTCATTTTTATAGAGAAATATAGCATTAAATATCGATGCATGATTGTCGGTATTTTAGAGATTTTGTCTTTGCTTCGAATTAAGTAAAATCACAATTGTAATTAAAAATAAAACAACAATGATACAAAACACTTGGAACTTTATTTGCATGTTGCATGTTAAAGTTGAGCGTATATCGTATTCAACATTGTTAGACATCTTTTATCTTTCTTCGTTGAATAAATGTTTCATGAACTCATTCGACACTTGAATATGCGATTATAATTCGTTCAATCAAATTCGACTTTTAAATTTTATACTAGAACAATTTTATTCTATGCCAAAGATGTAAAAGCTGCCACTGAAACGACAAAGTTCTCTAGAAAATTGAACAAATTGTGGAAAATGAAAAACAAAAACGGATTTATCATTTCAAGTTTTACAATCGAAAAAATTAAAGAGAAACAAACTTATTTACTAGTTAAATAAGATTATATATGGAAAAATAATCTTTAATTTTCGACAGTAGAAATAGTTTTTCTTCGAAAGCATGCTATGCTGTCAATCAACAAAAAAGGAAGAACCTGTTTTGTTAGATTATAACAACAAAATAAATTATATTGAGACTATTTCGCAAGCACGCTAGCGTAGATGGGTAGATCCTGTACTTCTGCTATACACTCCACGCTATCGATACAAGTTTTTACACATATATTTGTGTTATGAAGACGAATCATAAAAATTGACATATTTAACATTGTGAAAATACTAATAAGTACTTTTTTTTTGTATTTTTGACATTGAACGACATCATTAGAAATGCCAAAGAAATAATAAATTGAATTAACAGAAATACTTTAATATTATGTCTGAAAGACGAAATCAATATGATTTTTTATCTAGAGAATTTTCAAGATAAATTAACTCATAATATTGGTCATCCTACTCATTTTATATACTTTCCTGTCAGTGTACATTCTACAAACGAGAAAAATCGAAACTTCATTTAACTTACTTTAAAAAGAAAACTTTGCAGTATGATCAGAAATAGGACTAATGTAAGTGCCACAAGTAGACGTATTATATTTGTACTTCACGACAAATACTTTATATTTATACTTAAGTACGAAAAACAGAACTTTGTACTTTTTACTTGAGATATAAATATAATAAATTTCGTCAATAAGGTTGCATAGCTCTGATAGATTTTTAAAGACCATCGTATTATCTTCTAATGATAAAAAACATGACAATAAAAATATATTAATGAAAGTTTAAGTGAAACGAGTATCACCACTTTCAGATGTTCACACCATCATTTTGAAGAAATTCAAATACTGAAGAGTGAAAGTTTTTCCAAGAGACGTACAGTAAAGTTATCAGGGTATTAGAATAAAATTTTTCATTAAAATATTGCTATTTTTTATGTATTCTTCATCAAAAGATACAATGCGATGGTTTTTGATAACCTATCCGAGCTGGACCACCTTATTAATATCAGTACCAAGTACATCTGATGAATACTTGTACTTTTGCCTGAAAAAGTACAAAAAGTGCAAGTATCAATACTTTTGTCTGAGTTCTACGTTCGATTGAAGTAGATATAATGTAGAAGTGAAGTATGCACTGACGAAGTCTCACTTTTCTTTTCTTCTTGTTCTCTTTATACAGCCCTGACGTTCAAGCTTTTGATGATTAAGCCTAAGAACGCTGCAGAAAATTCCTAAGTGAAAATAGACTGATCGAAGATAGTTTATCTTTATACAATTCAAGTATCTCTTCATTCAAATTCAACGATAAGCACCAAGTCAAAAATTACGTTTCCGTTTTGAAGGAACTTTAAGAAAGAATTTTGACGCTTGTTGCTCTCGGTTGCTAGAGGAAACATAATCATTGGCCTTCGACCTTGGACAGTCGTTGCTATGACACCGGAAGAGGGAGGAGCCACAAGACTTCGACGTAGAACTTTAATTTACTGTATTTTTCTTCAAAAAACATAATTTGCGTTTTACAGAATCATCTGAAAAAAATGAAAAATTACATTTAATAATTTCCTTGGCACTTCTATAGTGATTTAAACCAAAGCCAGTTGTGATATTTTATTATTTTTATTTGATCTTTGATAAAAACAGTTATATATAAAAGACACTTTCGATTAGAAACTTATTTCAGTTTTATATATTAAAAATAATTTCAGGAAAATAACACAAATACTTTGTATCAGGAAATGAATAATCATAAATAATCGTATTGGATAGTTACGAGTTTCAATGATTTATTTTAGCCTTGAAAATGGAATTAAATAAATGATCAAGTATATAGTTTCGCTATTTATTTGAAAGCAATCTTGTTCCGAGTTTTATCAATCTGAGTATTATTATGACCCCTATCGTTTCCGCAATTGATTACTTCATTCGTTGACAAATATGACACCTGGAAGAATGAGAGAATGAAAAGAAAAAGAAAAAGAAAAACCAAAAGTTTTAAAAAAACATTCAAATGTAATTGCTTTTATAAATAAATAAACAAACAAATACATGAATAAAAAATAAATTGATAAAAATCAGTTGGACAAAGCCATTTTTTTTATTGATTATTTTGAATTTTTTTTAGATAATACATTCTTTAGTATTTTTTCCATCTAAAGAATGAATCCGAACAACATCTGTGATTTATCTCTTATGAGTTGGAATATATTAGCCCCTTGTTGGGTTGAAAAAGAATGGTATCCATCTTTATATGATTTAGCAGCCGATCATGAAACAAGAATAAAAACGATTGCATCAAATATTTCTTCATATAACTGGGATGTCATTATGATTCAAGAAGCTCAAGAAGATATGATTTCTTTATTTCAAGAAGAATTGGGTAATGACTATTTAGCTGAATTTGCGCGAAATAATCCAAATCCATGTTCGGTTGCTAATGGACTTCTTACATTGATTCATAAAGATTGGAAATATGCTAAAGAAGCTAAGATTATCAATGGAATTCTTGATGATGAACAAGGTGATGCGATTCAAATCGTTCATATTCCGTCAAAAAATATCCATTTAGTTAATCTTCATCTAGATTATATAGCTCCATTATCACAAGCAAAAATGGTGAAAAATAAATGCAACGAACTACTAGGTACGTCAAATTCTATGTCAATTATGGCTGGAGATTTGAATGCAGATAAAAATGTTTATGAACAATTTGAATGGTTTGAATTTAAGAATGTTTTCAATGAATCAAACATAGATAAGATCATTCCATCATATTATACTGATCGGTATGATGAAGAATCGAATATATCTATTGATCATATTTTTTATGATCCAAATCAAGTTACAATGATTGAACATGGAAAAGCATGGGATGTTCAAGATCAATCGCTTGAAGATGCTCTAAAAATATTTGGAAGCGATCACATTTATGTTTGGGCCAGTTTCAATTTTTATTCAAAATAAAAATAATAAAAATATTCTAGATATCTTTTATTCAATCCATTCAAGTATATTTTTTATACATTTTTAATTATAAATAAGAACACAAGAATATTTTAAAGTGAATAAAAAAAGATACTTTATTTTTGTTAAGATTCACAATATGAAATCAGTGAAAAAAGAAGATTATCTATCTTCAAAGCAGAACAAATGAACATTTTAAAATTATTTTAGTTGATATATTCTGTTTATAATAGTCTTTCCAACAAGTATATTAAGGGATCATTTTCAATGTTCAAAATGATAAAAAGATTATGAAGTACGCAGCAGAATTCTTGCTCATTATTATTGATTGAGGAGGACAGAAGTCCTTAAAATACCATTTATAGAAAAGACGACATTGTAAAATAGATGTCTACATATGCAAGAAAACTTAAACAAATCTATCACAATAACTATGTCGGTTACTGAAATAATTCTTACACGAATATTATGAAGGAAGTTTATACAAACAAACAGTTGGAGATCTTTTAAAATGAATTATTCTAAATAGATGATGAGTTTTTTTTTATAAAATTATAAGTAAATTCTGAACTGATCAATATTAGTGACCGAATCAAAACAGATAAAATTAAAACAAGAAATACTATTTGCATATTGATTTTCTAGACCATGTAGAACTACAAGAATTTCCATAGGAGAATAAAACAATCCATTATTTACCTTTGTCTCAGTAAAATTTGTCACGTTATATATAATTAAACGAATAAAAGGTTGTTACAAGACACCGTTGACAGTGAGTAATATATTGAGATTTCTGAAATTGAAATCTTTGAGAAAGATAATAATAATATTTTGTTTTCCTCAAATCTTTAAAATGACAACTTACATTGATTTCTAAACCAGTTATTTGAATTTAATTGCCTATGAAACATTTTCACTCAACAATAAACCATAAGAAACATTCGAGTTTCCTCTTTAATTGTCCATTCAATAACAAAAATTGATTTTGTAATAAATATTGCATTATCTGTGAATAAAAAATATTCATCTTTGTCACTGTTTTACCTACTGCCAACTACTTATTTCTCTTCGACTCTTACTGTATTAAGTATTAATATGTGTAGTATTGGTGATTGTCGTTTTTTACGTGATGGTGGTCTAAAACAATCAAACACGTTCAACGTTCAAATAAAAAATATTAGCTATTCATCAATGATATCTCGCAATATGGTAAGTTGATACTGTTTTATTGTTGTTTCAAGTTAGGAAATAATATAAACGATCAAATGAAATTAATTCTCATATTAATACATCGTATGATTACTCAAAATAGCGAATAAAATATGATGGTTTTTATCATTATTAAACTATTAGAAATAGACGGTTGCACGTGTGTTTCTATTACTCTCAATTATTTTAAAATTAATTATTAAGTCACTAGAATTAGATAACCCAACAATTGCAGATGAGTTTCTTGATTATCACAACAAATAATAGAAAATATTTTTTAGTAGTTTGTTAATAGTTGATTTTTGATTTTTTTTCGAAATATTTGAGGAATAAATTGAATAGTAGAATTGGCTTTTAACAGTTACGAAAACTAAAAAATATGTTTTGAGTGCAGAATACAAGTTTTTTTTTTTAAATTATCGAGTAAAAAATGAAGAGCAACTTCTTAACATGGTCGAGTTATCTGCTTAGTCGCTAGCAACAGCTCTAACATCATGATGATTTCAAGAGAATGAAGAAGGGTTTGGGTGTAGTGGTCGAGAGGAAAAGACACTCACTTCCACATATCTATACCCACACCCTGGGTACATGGTCTTCTTCTTCGTTGTCAGAATCCTAAAGAAGTGCTCAATATATTTAAATTCTTTAAATTTTCGAATAAATCTTTTATTAAGAGACTTCTAGAGAGCTTTCTATTAGGTCATCTCTAGAATCCTCAAAACTTATGATAAAATCGATAAACCATAGTACGTTCGAAAGTAGAAACTTCGGGCTATCTAACTATGTCTAAAGCTGGAAAATCGATATTTTTGAAAAAATAAGATTTTTTGAGTGTGGGATGGGGCCTTAAGGTAATCAATAAATACAACAATTAAAACTTTTAACTGTAAGTATTGAGATAAAAGCATTATTTCAAAGTATTGACTACAAAATGTCAATGAAACGTTTCTTTTACTATAGTACACATTCGCAGAAATATAGACAACAAGCACGCCATCTCAACTTTTTGTCCTTTTTTCGTCATCGCGTTACATCATCCTTTTCTGCTATAACTTTCGAGCGACTTGTCCGAACGAACTCATCTTTTCAGCGATTTTGAGGCCGCAGAGATTATCTTTCAACAAAGTAACAAACTTTCTAGGCAACCTAATAGCTGAGAAAAGTTAGAAATAATGCGGCCAAAACGCCATCGCGTTACGCTTGGACAAGCCATATATATATGTCCCAGGAAAAAATTGAACTTTAGGCAAAACTTAAACTCAAGCAGAATTTGTTTCTAATTCAGCGCGAAACTGCGAAAAAGTTTTCTTTTTTTTTTAAATAATGTTAATGTTCATTTGCAGCAATAAAGCAACATGAGCTGATTTTTTTTCAATTAGATGAGTACTTATTTTCACTAATTCAGACTGTGGTATCATATGATGGGGAATTTGAATTTGTGTCAAAATCAGATTCCTTAAAATCATTTCTATTTGTAACAAAATAAAATTATACCGCTATAGCGCTATGAGAAATAAAGCGATGCAGTATGCATACTGAAGTATTCATTAGTCAGAAACTCCTCGACTCACATTACTCACCTTTTATTTCTGTGTCGCGGCGTCGGGGTGCTACGTGCCCCCGAAGAGCTGTGGCCTACGTTCGTCTCTGTGTACATGGTTTCGTCTATCTTCAGCTTCCACTCGACATAAATTGAACACCTCTGAAATTTTACATCCCTAATACCTCTATACCGCTATAGTGGTATACCTATATACTGTGTGGAATATTTTACTGCTTCTGACTGGTTGATTTTTGAATTTGTCGCAAATTCAAATTCCCTACCAACTCTATATCGCTCAGGAAACCACAGTTATAAAAATAAAAGCCTTTTCAAAACTATTTTTCGACAAAAAAGCATGAGAGAATTTTTGGACTTTGGGCAGCTTTTGCATAGGTAACTTGAAATGCGACTTTCTTCATTGAAAACGGTTTTCTTTTGCTCAAACATGATTTTATATCACTCAGGAAATCATATTAGAGAACTAAAAGCTTTTCTTAGAAAAGCATTCTTTGACGAAATAAGTCTGGCAGACCCTTGATCGTATTTTTTCGAGGATTTTTTCAAATTCTTTGAGCTTCATATCATTCGACGCAATTTAATGCGTTGATTTCGAATATCACGTTAGTTTTTTTTTACAGTGCTATATGAATGTCTAAAACCGGATTTCTGACCGAAACTCTTTTTTTTTGGAAATCTCTGAAACAGTCTAAGATAGATTTCACGAGTTGGCATGACTATCATCATTAGAGTGCACATGTAGGAATATCTGGTAAAAGTTTGAGCTCGATCGTATGTTAATCGTTTGTAGTGTTCACAAAATACGTAACGACAGATTTTCAGATAGGTTTTCCGTCTGAGAAGCCTCTTTTTTCTCCTCTGTTTTAAATTCAAATAGAATTATTTTATTTTGAGATAAAGCCGACAGCTGAGCAACTTTTTTGTAATATTGTTTGGTTATGAAATATTGTGTTATATTGCTGAACAACTTAACTTTGTTTATTTATGCGGGTTCCTAGGTCAAAGTCTTGCCTGGTTCTTTTCCTAGAGCTCTGTAAAACTTTGAGAATCGTTATTTTAGAAAGTAATAGATCACATATGCATCTATCTACGCAAATGGATAGACGTTGGAAAAAAACATTTTCACATATGTCTGTCAAGCATCCCATTGTAAGGTGCCTACGGTACCTAAAAAATAGAATCCATTTCGTCTACACTCATGAAGTTTTGTATAGTATCCGTTTTATTTCAGCGCAACCTGTAGAAATTTCGGCAACAATAGAAGATAATTTTTCAAGTTCTGAAAAAAGAACAGCAAATTCACAAAACCATGGGATATGGGTTCCTGCAGAATTCTCCATTTTACTCATGATCTTGAATTCACTTCCATTTAATCAATTTCTAGAAGAAATATGACCTGATACAATACTCACGTGCACTAAATTGTCATATTTCTTCTACACTCCCATTCTTTATTTGGACAAGTGGTTATGACAGTCACTTTCATTGTCTTTGCTTGACGACTATCTTCTTGAATTCCATAATGAGATTATTGCTTACTTATTCTATACCTAAACTACACCTCTAATTCATTAGTGGTATATGTCATATTATTTATGACGACGATGTGTGTGTGTGAATGTATATTGGAAAAATAAATACTCTATAAACTGAATCTACTCACTACTATGTGTAACTTTTATTTGCGACGAAGAATGATCAGAGTTCATGAAAAAAAAAAAACATCCATCAAAGGAAGTATTCAGAATGACAAATATGAAGTTCATCGATGATAGAATAAGAATGAAAGCTGAAATTATATACTGAGGAGGTCATATAGTATTATTATCATATACTATATTTAAATGAAACATGAAATTCTTATTTTGATATTATTAAATCAAGTATTAACTCGTTGAATGTAACATATAGTTTTCAGATTATGCTTCTTGCATCATCTTCACAAATATTTTGATGAATTTCAAAAAGCAGCTAAACATAGTTTTTTGATGCCAACAGTTTAGGAAGCTTTTATCAGAACAGTTTTTCCATAACTTTTATTCGTTTGAATACTGACAATTGATTTTTATTTTTATGTAGACAAAAAGAACATTTGTTCCTCTATCGAGCTATAAGTTTTTCTTGTGATTTATTGCTTATTTTAGCTAGAAATCTGATGATTTCTTAACAAGTTTATACATGAATTTTTTCGAAAAAGAATTTTCTTCATTTCTTCGCGAAAGAATTTCAG